CTGTTCCTTCGCTATGTGCAGTTTGAAGTGAAAGTTGCGGGTCCTTCGGATGAGACCTTAAAAACTGAGGCCCCGTGTCAAGGTAGGCGTTGGCACGATAAAAATCCCTCACTGCTCAATGGCCCTAAGTGCCGAGTAAAGGTCAAAATTTGAAACCCTTCACCGGTATATGGTGATGTCTCTATATGAGTGAAAAATTCTCGAATGGGACGTAATATAACATACAATCAATCAATCAATCAAATTCATGAATGGAATGTCAAGCAAACTTATTATTGATGCACCTTTGAATACAATACGGACATAATAACACAAGAAACAAAATTATGTATAGTCAAATGGAAAAGTTTTTTTTTAACTATTTTTAAGTTACATGATCTTTTGACACTTCAGGGACAGGGAATGGGCGGGGAAACTGAGGGAGAGTGTTCCATTTGATATGTCATAATACAAAGATGGCTTTGAGGTTTCCAAATTTATTTATAGCTATCTGATTCAGATTATTTTAGTATCAAGGGAATGGGAATGCAGACCCCCCAGGGACGACTTTCACATTTACTAAAGTTATTTCCTTTTGCGAGTCAATCTGGGGTCAGCCTGCGTAAGGCTACACCGTTACAAACTCTTAGAAATTAAATTTATATGAATATGTTTGTAATGTTTTTTTCATGTTGCCCCATAGGAAATACATGAAAGGATGAAAATTGCCCGATAGCGTTTGAAGTTTGGAAATATTTACAGGCTAACTTACAAAGGACTAAAGTGAGAAAAATAAGCGTTACGTCAACAAGGGGAGACAACTCTTCAGAATGTGAAATTCCTCTATTAAGGCATCCGATGATCTTTGATCTTTTTAAACTATAACCTAACCATTTGTATTTCAGATTATTTTACCCCAATCTATACCTAAACTTGTACTTACAGACCGTCCTAGGTTCTGTCAACTTAATGAAATTTAATTCAATTAATAAAACACACAATGAATTAATTACCTCCCCCCTTAAAATTGTCAAAGTTAGCATAAATAATAGTTTCATCGAGAAAATGCAAAAATGTCTTCTCGGTAGACTTCATTTATACCCTACAAAATCTCTAGAACCCAGAAGCTTCTTGGGGCTTCGCTCCCTGGGCCCCTACCAGGGCTTCGCCCTGGACCCACTGGAGGCCTCAGGGTGGTCCCCAGACCCCCGGCCTACTTTATGCGCCCCCTAACTTCAATTCTACTTTTGAAGAATCAAGTCAGTACATGTACATGTATGTATAATTTTCATATAATACGAGTCTTAGAATCATCAAACTTTGTTGTTTGACCTATATTGGGTCTTCAGATTGTGCTACCAAAAAAGTAAGTAACTGTAATAATTATTTTCAATATTTTTTGGTCATATCTTAATATTTCAAATAATAAAAGGCTTAGAATCATCAGAAATTGGCAGTTGACACACCTTTGGTCTTCAAAGCTTGTTAACCAAAAACAATGAACTTTTAATATAACCATGATATCCTATATCCTATGTTGGTCATTGTGCCCATTTCTTTGGTTGATACACTTCACGGCCTTCGCATTTATCAACTGACAATAATGGATTGTCCTAGCCTTCACATTGTCAAAAATATGAAATTTATACAAAATGAAAGCGAATGTCAGGAAATTCAAAAAGAAAGTCAGACTGCCTGACATTTTCAAAAATAAGTTTCAAGGTCCCACGATGCACCAACTTAAAAGGGTTGATGATTTAAACCTCTCAGTATCAGAAATAATAAACTAGATCGTTTTAAAATGATTAGCCATAAAGTTAACAAAGTACGTAACGGTGACATAACTTTTGATTGACACTCTTTATCGCCCCCATGATGCATATACTGACAAGTTTTGATGATCATAGTCTTGTATAAGGTATGTATAAAATCAATTTGAAAATAAATACCTTCTCAATTAAAAAATTACATCACCATGACTTACGTTTGAGTCAGAATGACATGAGTACATACGATGCATCAACTTACAAAATTTGATTATCCTAGTCACAATAGTGGCCAAAATATTAAAGTTTTAACAAAATATTAATTTAGGTCACATTTTAAGTTACCTTGAGGCCATGACTTTGCCGTGACTTTATCAGGGTGATATCTTGTACAAATATATATCTACAACACCTCCTCACCCTGTGTAAATTTGGTGATATTCTGCCCAGTGGTTCTTGAAATATGTTCGCATCCACTTTTATTTTCCTAATTATCTCCCTTTGTAAAAGGGTTATATCCAAATTTTAGGTACAAATGAAAGTCCTTTGGCCAAGGATACTCTGTGATAAATTTGACAAATAGGGATTCTACAGGTATAGCCACTATTCAAAGAAGTTTAATGTGATGAGCAATTTGGTCCATTTTCAAAGTTTTCTTAAAATAAAATTTCTCTAGGTCCTTCCCTTTAAAGTATTCATAAGCATTTTTTTTCAAAGAGAGTTATCTAGGAATATAACTCCAAATAAGATAATTTTTTTCTGAACAATAAGAACTTTATTTTGTATTGTATAATGAGTAATCAAGTCAATATTCACAGCTTTACGAAAAATAACAACATTTTGGTGTCTAGCTCTTCCCCATGCGGTATTTAGAGGCAATTACGGATTGTATTAGCTTGAACTCCTGATGCTCTTGTCCGTGAATGATCAGCAATGCCGATTGCAAGCAGCATCTTATCCTGGTCGCATGAAATGTCCTCATTTTTTGTCAGATTCTTTGGTAATCCAAGCCAAAATCAAACTGCAAAAGATGATTTTAAAAAAACTGAAAAAAGATATATCAAACATTCCGATAAAAATGACTCAATTTAACAACTGTGATTTCCCCCATTAAATGATGTATTAAAATCATATTTCAATGAACATCTTTGATGTATGTACAGTTGATCTGCATGACAAAAACGTATATTCTTGAAAACTGTTGCAGAAGTTATCAAAAAATGCAACATTTTGCATAAAAATGAGTTCTTAAAAAGTTTACCAACTAAATTTAAAAATGCGATTTCTTTTTTAAATGATGAAAAACCAAAATACAAGTTCCATGTTCATCTCCATTGAATAGTGATTTCAATTTAAAAAAAAAAACTTAAATCCCCTTTAATGGAAAACCTTTCAAAAAGAAAAACCAAAGGAGAAATTACCCTAAGTGCAATATTATGCATCAAATTGACAACGTTCAACAGCTTGTATTTTTCTAAATGACCAAAAACCCAAATCAAGGTGCAATAAAAATCACTGACGTACACATAATTATTTGAAAAAATAAGTTCTCAATTTCATAAAATATGAAAGCTATCTAAACAAATGATGAAACTTACAAGCAATATTTGAATTAGAAATGAATAAGATCAATTGGTACCTTTCAAATAGACAGTCAAAATCAAGCATCATGCTTCTCTCTGATGTATATCATATACTGAATCTGCAATATTAAAAAAAATATAAAACTGTTGAAGCAGTTATCTAGAACAATAGGCCCAAGGGCTCTGAAATGCGCTTGTGATAAATTGTATAACCTATCACTTCTATTTGAAGCCTCTAAGTATCCTATATATTTAGATAAAGCCCTTAGAGGTGCTTGGACACAGATTTGAAGTTAATATTTTCTCAAATTTTCTGTATAATTTCATGACTTCTATGTTGCTATAGCATTTCATACTTAAATATAATAAAAATCTTATTTCATCTCGTAGTTATTGAAACTTCAAATTTCTGAACGCCTTTGATTGACACATCCTTGCACTTTCACAAATTTTAATTTTATTCTTAGTACTTAAGAAAAGTGGCGATTTTGTTGTGTATTAATGAAAAATATTAAAACTATAATCCAAAGAATTCAGAGTAGAAATGTTCGAAAGCAAAACCCACTCACAGTATTGTCAGTCCGTGCTCAGTGGTGTGTGCAGACTTTAACAATTAAACACACCCGGTGAATCGTAAACATTAACAATAACAGAGCTCGTGCCCTGTTTACAAAAACAGTTTATGTTTCACGGGTGTATTCAATTTGTTAAACTCTGTACACACCACTGAGCACGGGCTGACAATATTAGTGAGGGGGTTTGCTTTCGCACATTTCTACTCTGAATTTTCTGGATTACAGATGTAATATTTTTCATTAATACACAACAAAATCGCTTCTTTTCTTAAATGTTAGGGATAAAGATAAAATTTGTGAAAGTGCAAGGATGTGTAAATCAAACGCGTCCAGGAATTCGTAGTTCCAATAATTTCCAGATAAAATAAGTTTTTAATTATATTTTCGTGTGAAATGCTACTGCAATATATAAGTCGTGATATTATACAGAAAATTTGAGAAAATATTAACTTCAAATCTGTGTTTAAGCACCTTTAAATTCAGAAAGTAGGTCATTTTATATAAAACACTCTGAGAACCCAAGATGATTCTAAGTCAATTAGCACCTGAGATAGGTCATGATGACCTATTCATCATTTTCTGCGGACCCAAGATGCAGCAACTATCTAAAATTGATGATTCTAAGCCAAACAGTACCTGAAATATTCATATAAAGCCATAAAATTTCAAAAGTAGGTCAAAATGACTTACTTTTCAGTTGACATACTCTGAGGACCCAAGATGCAACAACTGACAAAGTTTGATGATTCTTAGCCAATTGATACCTAAAAATATCTAATTTATAACCATAAAATTTCAACAGTACGTCACAGTGACCTACTTTTCAGTTGACATACTTTGAGGACCCAAGATGCATCAACTGACAAAGATTGATGATTCTAAGCCAATTAGTACCTGAAAAAATATTTAATCAAGTCACAGTGACCTACTTCTTAGTCGACGTACTCCTAACATCCAATATACATTAACCAACAATTTTTGATGACTCTAAGCAAATAAGTACACGAAATTATTCAAATATAGCCTTAAAATTCCAAGAGTAGGTCAGAGTGATCTACATATTCGACATACTCCAAAGACAAAAGATGCACCCACTTACAAAATTTGATGCTTCTAAATCAATTAGTACCTGATATATTTAAATAAAGCCATAAAATTTCAAATATAGGTCACAGCGAGCTACTTTTTAGTCGACTAACTCTGCGGACCGATGATGCATCAACTGACAAAGTTTGATGATTCAAAACCAAATAGTACCTGAAATTTAAATAAAGCCATACAATTTCAAAAGTAGATCACGGTGACCTTCTTTTCAGTTAACTTACTCCAAAGACCCAAGATGCACCAACTGAAAAAGTTTGATGATTCCAAACCAAATAGTACTCAAAATATTTAAATATAACAAAAAAATTTCAAAAGTAGGTCATGGTGACCTACTTTTCAGTTGACGTTTTTCGAGGACCAAAGATGCATCAACTTACAAAGTTTCATGATCATAGGCCTTGAAATGTCCAAAATATGCCTCTAAAACGCTTTGAAATCGAATGCCTGCAAAGTTCAAAATGTAGGTCAAGGTGACCTACTTTTTCATAAATTTGTTTCATGGCGCATCATCTTACAAGATTAAATGATTCTAAACCTCTCAGCATTCGAATTAATGAAATTCAATGTTTTTAAAAGATTAGCCATAAAATTCAAAAAGTAGGTCAAGGTGACCTTCTTTTAGTTGACGTACTCCGATGACCCAAGATGCATCAACTTATAAAGATTAATGATCGTAGACCTTGCAGTAAGCAAAATATTAACATTTTAATAAAATGTAATATTTGGTCAACTTTGATGTGACCATGAGATCATGCCTTTGCCCCAGGGCAATTCCCCTTGCAAATTTTAATCTACAACATATCCTCAACCTAATGTGTAAGTTTGGTGATAATCTGCCCCGTGGTTTTTTGAGAAGATTTTTAGCAACCAGTACTTTTGGTTTTATTAACCAAATTATCTCTCTTTGTTTAAGGGTCACAACCTTAGATTTAATATAAACGGGAGTCTTTCGGTCAAGGATACCCTGTGACAAATTTGACAATAATTGGCAAAGGGGTTCTTGAGTTATGGCCCACATTCTAGAAAGTTTACGCACACCGCACAAATGGATATAGCATTAGCTCTTTGAGCCTTTGGCTCAGAAGTACAAATGTAAGCAATATAACACATCAAATGGATATATTTATCAACAGGTATTTTCTTATGATATCAATAATCAAAAATCAAAATCCAAGTACAATGTTCATATCTAATGTAAGCTCATTTGACTTTAATTTATGTTCATTAGACTTTAACAATAAAAACATATTATCCCTCTTATAGATTTCTTTTAGCAGTAAACAGAAAAAGGACAAATCTGCAGAAATGTTATACCCTAAAAGTAATATTTTGCATCAAATTGACTATGTTCAACAGCTTGTATCTTCTTCACAAATGACCAAAAATCAAACCAAGGTGCCATGCTTATGTATCATGTAAAAATATTTGGGAAAATAAGTTCTTAGATTAAGAAGCGTAGGGCTGTCAGAACAAAAATATTTAACCCTATATACAAGAGGTGGCATAAAAATCAAGAATACCAACAACTCGTATTTTTGTCATAGAAGATCAAAAACTATATCCATACACTTCTCTTCCAAATGTACAACTGATTTGCACAATAAAAAATTCCTATTTTTCTCTCCTAAATAATCAAAAATCTAGAATTTAGGTACCATGTTCATTTATGATAGATAATTGTTCAACAATTGTGGGAGTACTCTGGAAAATAGAATGTATATGTACAAGTAGGATGTACCCAAACAAATTGTGGGAGTACTCTGGAAAATAGAATGTATATGTACAAGTAGGATGTACCCAAACAAATGTTGTATTCTCTTTTATTTTGCACAAAAATGACTGAAGTTCAATAATTGCTATCTGAACCATAATGATTAGTAGTCTAAAACCAAGTACTAAGCAAATACTAACTGTACAAACAAAATGATCTCCAAACCAAAACTTCTTATTATGAAAACTATTGGAGAACTTATCGGAGTAAACAATGAACCCAGTGTGCAATATTTTGCATCAAAATGACTGATTTTAAAAACCAGTACCTTTATAGATGATCAAAAATCAAAGTTGAAGCGTCATATTAATATCTGCTGTATGTTGTTTTTTTTTTTTTTTTTTTAATTTTTTTAAAAAAAATGATATCTTTAAAACTGTTGAAGGAGTTATTTAGAAAAATCATGTACACTTGTATGCAAAAAATAATAATAATAATAATAATAATAATAAAAAAAAAATTAAATGGCCAAATTTATCAACTGGTAGTTTCTTGTCAATGACCAAAATCAAAATCAAAGTCTCATGTTCATCTCTATTGTATGTTCATTAGACTTGAACAATTAGAAACCTATATTCCCTTTCATGGGATTTCTTTTAGCAGAAAACTGAGGGAGAAATTATCTGCAGAATTGTTGTACCCTAAAAATAATATTTTGCATCAAATTGACATGTTCAACAGTTTGTATCTTTTACAAATGTGACCTAAAACCAAACCAAGGTGCCATGGGGGGATATGCATATCATTGATATAAAAACATATAGGAAAAAGTTCTTAGGTTTAGATATGTAGTAGCTATCTAGACAAACAAGAGGCCCAAGGGCCTTGAATCGCTCTTCTAATAAACTGTACAACCTACGGTATCACTTCTATTTGATGATTCAAATCCGTATAGTACACCAAAAATATTAAATACAGCCATAAAATTTCAAAAGTAGGTCAGGGTGACCTACTTTTCAGTTGTCGTACTCCAAGGACCCAAGATGCATCAACTGACAAAGTTTGATGATTCTAAGCAAATTGGTTTCTGAAATATTTAATTAAAGCCATACATTTTCAAAAGTAGGTCATGGTGACCTACTTTTCAGTTGACCTACTCCAAAGACCCAAGATGCATCAACTGACAAAGTTTGATGATTCTAAGCCAATTAGTACTTGAAATATTTAATTATAGTCATATAAATTGAAAAGTAGATCACGGTGACCTACTTTTCAGTCGACCTACTACGATGACCCAAGATACATAAACTTACAAAGTTTTATGATCATAGGCCTTAAAATGTCCAAATTATGCCTCTAAAACACTTTGAAATCGCATGCCTGCAAAGTTCAAAAAGTTGGTTACTGTGACCTACTTTTTAATACATATGTTTTATGGCCCCAAGATGCATCATCTTGCAAGATTCCATGATTCTGAACCTCTCAATAATCAAATTATTGACCTGAATTGTTTTGTAAAAGATTAACCATAAAATTCAAAAAGTAGGTCAAGCTGACCTACTTTTTAGTTGACGTACTTTGATGACCAAACATACATCAACTGACAAAGTTTGATGATAATAGGACTTAAATTGTTCAAAATATGCCTCTAAATCATTTTGATAAAGAATGGTCGCAAAATTTAAAAAGTAGGCCACTGTGACTTACTTTTAAGTCAACATGATATGAGGTCCTTAAATGCATCAACTTACAAGATTTGATGATCCTAGTCCTTTTAATAAGCAAAAATATCAACATTTTAATAAAATGTAATTTTTGGTCAACTTTGAAGTGACCTTGAGACCACGCCCTTTGCCCCAGGGTGATGCCTTGAACAATTTTTAATCTACAACATATCCTCATCCCTTTGTTTAAGTTTGGTGATAATCTGCCCAGTGGATCTTGAGAAGAAGATTTTTTAGCAACCAGTACTTTTGTTTCCATTTTCCTAATTATCTCCCCTTGCTTAAGGGTCTCAACCCTAGTTTTAGTACAATAGGGAGTCCTTGCGCCAAGGATACCCTGTGACAAATTTCACAACAATTGGCCAAGGGGTTCTTGAGTTATGGCCCATATTCTAAAAAGTTTACGCACACCGCACAAATGGCCATAGCATTAACTCTTTGAGCCTTTGGATAAGAAGAGCTAATAAAAAGAACCCTCTATGCAATAGTTGGCATAAAAAATAGAATACCAACAACTAATATTCTTGTCATAAATGATCCAAAACAAAGTCCAAACACTTATCAACTCTCTTCCAAATGTACAACTGATTTGCACATTAAAAAAATCCTATCCCAAAAACTGTAGGATGCAATACCCTATAAGAAATATTTTGCACAAACATCTGGTATTTTCCCAGTCACTAATCAAAAATCAAAATCAATGCACTAAACATATCTCTTATATAAATATGTACAGCTTCTCTGCACAACAAACTCCTTACTTTGAAAACTGTTGATGGGATTATCCAGACATATCATATGCCAAAATAAGCAATATTTGGCACCGAAACTGATGAAGTTCAACAACCGTTCATTTCCCAAAAATGATCTAAATTCAAAATCACAGCACCATGCACATCTTTAATGAAAGTTTATAACCTCATCTGCAAAACAAACATCTTCTGATTTTGAAAACTGTTAGAGTGCTTATCCTGAAAAACGATGTAAAAGCTACATTATACATACAAATGACTAAGTTCAACAACTGCTATTTCCCCTATAAATGATCTGAAATCAAAACTCAACTATCTTGTACATCATTAGTGTATGTACAATTGATCTGTATAAAAAAAAACCTCTTATCCTGAACACTATAAGAGAAGAGAACTGGATAAATGATGAGCACTGTAATCAATACTTTGCATAAAATTCACCCAGTTCATCTGCTAATATCCCTCTCCTAAATGATCAAAAGTCAAAATTTAGGTACCAAGTTTATTTTTCAGGGATAGATAATTGATCCCCAATTGTAGGAGTACTCTGGAAAAATAACCAGATTCATCCACTACTATTTTCCCCTATCACACATTAGAATTCAAAATTAAAGTAACCAGTAGATCCCTAATACATGTAATGTACAATTTACCTGCACAATATTAATTTCTTATTTTCAACAATTTAGCAAGATGTATCCAAACAAATGTTGTACTCTCTTATATTATGCAGCACAAAAATGACTGAAGTTCAATAACTGCTATTTGAAGCATAAATGATCAGTAGTCTAAATCCAAGTACTACGCAAATACTTAATGTATGTACTTTTGATCTGCAAACCAAAAACTTCTGATTGTAAAAACTGCTGCAGAAGTTATCCGAACAAATGTTGAACCCAGTATGCAATATTTTGCATCAAAATGATGTGACTAATTTTAACAACTGGTACCTTTATAGATGATCAAAAATCAAAGTCGAAGCATCATATTCATTTCCCATGTACGTTTCTTTGATCTGCAAAATAAAAATAAATGTTATCTTTAAAACTGTTGAAGGAGTTGTCTGGAAAAATCATGTACACTTGTAAGCAATATAACACATTAAATGGCTAAATTTATCACATGGTATTTTCTTATCAATGACCAAAAATCAAACTTCAAGCATATTGGCATCTCTGCTGTATGTTCATTAGACTTGATCAATTAGAAACCTATATTCCCTTTCATGGGATTTCTTTTAGCAGAAAACTGAAGAAGGTATTGTCTACAGAAATGTTGTACCCTTAAAGTAATATTTTGCATCAAATTGACATGTTCAACAGTTTGTATCTTTTTCATAAATGACCAAAAACCAAACCAAGGTGCCATGAATATCAATGATGTAAAAACATTCAGGAAAAAAGTCCTTAGGTTTAGATATATAGGAGCTTTCTGGACAAATAAAATGAACCCTTTATGCAAGAGTTGACAAAAAAATCAAAAATACCAACAACTAGTATATTTGTCATAAATGATCCAAAACAAAGTCCAAACACTTATCAACTCTCTTCCAAATGTACAACTGATTTGCACATTAAAAAATCAAAACTCAACTATCTTGTACATCATTAGTGTATGTACAATTGATCTGTATAAAAAAAACCTCTTATCCTGAACACTATAAGAGAAGAGAACTGGATAAATGATGAGCACTGTAATCAATACTTTGCATAAAATTCACCCAGTTCATCTGCTAATATCCCTCTCCTAAATGACCAAAAGTCAAAATTTAGGTACCAAGTTCATTTTTCAGGGATAGATAATTGATCCCCAATTGTAGGAGTACTCTGGAAAAATGAACATATTCAACCACTGCTATTTTCCCCTATCACACATCAAAATTCAAAATTAAAGTAACCAGTAGATCCCTAATACATGTAATGTACAATTTACCTGCACAATATTAATTTCTTATTTTCAACAATTTAGCAAGACGTATCCAAACAAATGTTGTACTCTCTTATATTATGCAGAACACAAATGACTGAAGTTCAATAACAGCTTTTTGAAGCATAAATGATCAGTAGTCTAAATCCAAGTACTACGCAAATACTTAATGTATGTACTTTTGATCTGCAAACCAAAAACTTCTGATTGTAAAAACTGCTGCAGAAGTTATCCGAACAAATGTTGAATCCAGTATGCAATATTTTGCATCAAAATGATGTGACTAATTTTAACAACTGGTACCTTTATAGATGATCAAAAATCAAAGTCGAAGCATCATATTCATTTCCCATGTAAGTTTCTTTGATCTGCAAAATAAAAATAAATGATATCTTTAAAACTGTTGAAGGAGTTGTCTGGAAAAATCATGTACACTTGTAAGCAATATAACACATTAAATGGCTAAATTTATCACATGGTATTTTCTTATCAATGACCAAAAATCAAACTCCAAGCATATTGGCATCTCTGCTGTATGTTCATTAGACTTGATCAATTAGAAACCTATATTCCCTTTCATGGGATTTCTTTTAGCAGAAAACTGAAGAAGGTATTGTCTACAGAAATGTTGTACCCTTAAAGTAATATTTTGCATCAAATTGACATGTTCAACAGTTTGTATCTTTTTCATAAATGACCAAAAACCAAACCAAGGTGCCATGAATATCAATGATGTAAAAACATTCAGGAAAAAAGTCCTTAGGTTTAGATATGTAGGAGCTTTCTGGACAAATAAAATGAACCCTTTATGCAAGAGTTGACATAAAAATCAAAAATACCAACATCTAGTATATTTGTCATAAATGATCCAAAACAAAGTCCAAACACTTATTAACTCTCTTCCAAATGTACAACTGATTTGCACATTAAAAAAATCCTATCCCAAAAACTGTAGGATGCAATACCCTATAAGAAATATTCTGCACAAACATCTGGTATTTTCCCAGTCACTATCAAAATTCAAAATCAATGCACTAAACATATCTCTTATATAAATAAGTACAACTTCTCTGCACAACAAACTCCTTACTTTGAAAACTGTTGATGGGATTATCCAGACATATCATATGCCAAAATAAGCAATATTTGGCACCGAAACTGATGAAGTTCAACAACTGTTCATTTCTCAAAAATGATCTAAATTCAAAATCACAGCACCATGCACATCTTTAATGAAAGTTTATAACCTCATCTGCAAAACAAACATCTTCTGATTTTGAAAACTGTTAGAGTGCTTATCCTGAAAAACGATGTAAAAGCTACATTATACACACAAATGACTAAGTTCAACAACTGCTATTTTCCCTATAAATGATCTGAAATCAAAACTCAACTATCTTGTACATCATTAGTGTATGTACAATTGATCTGTATAAAAAACCTCTTATCCTGAACACTATAAGAGAAGAGAACTGGATAAATGATGAGCACTGTAATCAATACTTTGCATAAAATTCACCCAGTTCATCTGCTAATATCCCTCTCCTAAATGATCAAAAGTCAAAATTTAGGTACCAATTTCATTTTTCAGGGATAGATAATTGATCCCCAATTGTAGGAGTACTCTGGAAAAATGAACATATTCAACCACTGCTATTTTCCCCTATCACAAATCAAAATTCAAAATTAAAGTAACCAGTAGATCCCTAATACATGTAATGTACAATTTACCTGCACAATATTAATTTCTTATTTTCAACAATTTAGCAAGACGTATCCAAACAAATGTTGTACTCTCTTATATTCTGCTGCACAAAAATGAATGAAGTTCAATAACTGCTATTTGAAGCATAAATGATCAGTAGTCTAAATCCAAGTACTACGCAAATACTTAATGTATGTACTTTTGATCTGCAAACCAAAAACTTCTGATTGTAAAAACTGCTGCAGAAGTTATCCGAACAAATGTTGAACCCAGAATGCAATATTTTGCATCAAAATGATGTGACTAATTTTAACATCTGGTACCTTTATAGATGATCAAAAATCAAAGTCGAAGCATCATATTCATTTCCCATGTAAGTTTCTTTGATCTGCAAAATAAAAATAAATGATATCTTTAAAACTGTTGAAGGAGTTGTCTGGAAAAATCATGTACACTTGTAAGCAATATAACACATTAAATGGCTAAATTTATCACATGGTATTTTCTTATCAATGACCAAAAATCAAACTCCAAGCATATTGGCATCTCTGCTGTATGTTCATTAGACTTGATCAATTAGAAACCTATATTCCCTTTCATGGGATTTCTTTTAGCAGAAAACTGAAGAAGGTATTGTCTACAGAAATGTTGTACCCTTAAAGTAATATTTTGCATCAAATTGACATGTTCAACAGTTTGTATCTTTTTCATAAATGACCAAAAACCAAACCAAGGTGCCATGAGTATCAATGATGTAAAAACATTCAGGAGAAAAGTCCTTAGGTTTAGATATGTAGGAGCTTTCTAGACAAATAAAATGAACCCTTTCTGCAAGAGTTGACATAAAAATCAAAAATACCAACAACTAGTATATTTGTCATAAATGATCCAAAACAAAGTCCAAACACTTATCAACTCTCTTCCAAATGTACAACTGATTTGCACATTAAAAAATCAAAACTCAACTATCTTGTACATCATTAGTGTATGTACAATTGATCTGTATAAAAAAAAACCTCTTATCCTGAACACTATAAGAGAAGAGAACTGGATAAATGATGAGCACTGTAATCAATACTTTGCATAAAATTCACCCAGTTCATCTGCTAATATCCCTCTCCTAAATGATCAAAAGTCAAAATTTAGGTACCAATTTCATTTTTCAGGGATAGATAATTGATCCCCAATTGTAGGAGTACTCTGGAAAAATGAACATATTCAACCACTGCTATTTTCCCCTATCACAAATCAAAATTCAAAATTAAAGTAACCAGTAGATCCCTAATACATGTAATGTACAATTTACCTGCAAAATATTAATTTCTTATTTTCAACAATTTAGCAAGATGTATCCAAACAAATGTTGTACTCTCTTATATTCTGCAGCACAAAAATGAATGAAGTTCAATAACTGCTATTTGAAGCATAAATGATCAGTAGTCTAAATCCAAGTACTACGCAAATACTTAATGTATGTATTTTTGATCTGCAAACCAAAAACTTCTTATTGTAAAAACTGTTGCAGAAGTTATCTGAACAAATGATGAACCCAGTATGCAATATTTTGCATCAAAATGATGTGACTAATTTTAACAACTGGTACCTTTATAGATGATCAAAAATCAAACTCAAAGCATCATATTCATTTCCCATGTACGTTTCTTTGATCTGCAAAATAAAAATAAATGATATCTTTAAAACTGTTGAAGGAGTTGTCTGGAAAAATCGTGTACACTTGTAAGCAATATAACACATTCAATGGCTAAATTTATCAACTGGTATTTTCCTATCAATGACCAAAAATCAAACTCCAGGTATATTGGCATCTCTGTTGTATGTTCATTAGACTTGATCAATTAGAAACCTATATTCCCTTTCATGGGATTTCTTTTAGCAGAAAACTGAAGAAGGTATTGTCTGCAGAAATGTTGTACCCTTAAGGTAATATTTTGCATCAAATTGACATGTTCAACCAGTGATTGGGAAGGCCATCAAGTCAATGGGACTATGGCGCAACTGTCAAAGTATTTAATGGGCCATTTTGAAAATGAATAGGCCATCTCTATATTCTAAGAAAAAAACAAAATGACAAACAAACGTCAAATACGAAAATGAACACGTTTCTTCCTTAACCAAATTTTATTTTTCAGGTTTACAGTGTAGCACATTTAATATTGTTAAAAGGAACCCGCAAACAATATATTTTTCTTGTATTTTGGATCAATAACGTCGAAATTTCAATTGAACATTGGAAATGAGTGAGGTAATGTACTTTGTTGTCCTATATAAAGCGCTTCATGTAACAGGAAGCAGTTTTTGCTGGGTTTTAACCAATGAGATTTGTTGTACAGTATTAAAATAACTGTATTTAAAACGAAAGTAAAACAAACCAGAAAGTCATATGCGAAATATTTCCAACTAACATCGCTAAAATTTGAATGCGCAACTTGGCGCCACCAATGGTTTACTTAATGTGCCAATTTTCACTTCAATGTGACTATGGCACGTGCCGCAAGCCTTTCCCAATCACTGTTCAACAGTTTGTGTCTTTTTTCATAAATGACCAAAAACCAAACCAAGGTGCCATGAATATCAATGATGTAAAAACATTAAGGAAAAAAGTCCTTAGGTTTAGATATGTAGTAGCTTCCTGGACAAATAAAATGAACCCTTTATGCAAGAGTTGACATAAAAATCAAAAATATCAACATCTAGTATATTTGTCATAAATGATCCAAAACAAAGTCCAAACACTTATCAACTCTCTTCCAAATGTACAACTGATTTGCACCATAAAAAAATCCTATCCCAAAAACTGTAGGATGCAATACCCTATGAGAAATATTTTGCACAAACATCTGGTATTTTCCCAGTCACTAATCAAAAACCAAAATCAATGTACTAAACATATCTCTTATATAAATATGTACAATTTCTCTGCACAACAAACTCCTTACTTTGAAAACTGTTGATGGGATTATCCAGACATATGATATGCCAAATTAAGCAATATTTGGCATCGAAACTGATAAAGTTCAACAACCGTTCATTTCCCAAAAATGATCTATATTCAAATTCAGAGCACCATGCACATCTTTAATGAAAGTTTATAACCTCATCTGCAAAACAAACAACATCTTCTGATTTTGAAAACTGTTAGAGTGCTTATCCTGAAAAATGATGTAAAAGCTACATTATACACACAAATGACTAAGTTCAACAACTGCTATTTTCCCTATAAATGACCTGAAATCAAAACTCAACTATCTTGTACATCATTGGTGTATGTACAATCGATCTGCAAAAAACTAGAAATATGTCCATAGGACATGAATGCCCTGCTGATGGTATATTAGTAATGCAACTTGAAAATTTGTATTAGTGTATGAAATCTGATGAGAATATCTTGAAGTTTCTTTAAAATTGAAATCTTCTAAAAGTTGGATATAAATAATAAATTATCACCAAATTATGTATAAGTCATAGGCGTACATAAATATATTTTAAATGGTTTCTTTAAAATTAAGCAAAATGCAAATTAAGAAAAGTGACGTCAAGGTCAAAAAATTTTGATGCAGTTGAATAGCTCTCATCAGTATGTATCAGCATACGAAGTTTGATAATACTATCTTGAATGGTTTCTTTAAAACTGAGCTAAACACTAATTTTAGAAAAGTGAGGTCAAAGTGAAAGGAAAGGTCAAGGTCAAAAAATGATGATGCAGTTGAATAGCTCTCATTACTATGTATTAGGATATGAAGTTTGAAATATCTTGAATGGTTTCTTTAAAACTGAGCTAAACACTTATTTAAGAAAAAATGACGTCAAGGTCAAAAGAAAGGTCAAGGTAAAAAAATGTGGATGCAGTTGAATAGCTCTCATCAGTATGTTTCAGCATATGAAGTTTGATAACACTATCCTGAATGGTTTATTTAAAACTGAGCTAAACACTAATTTAAGAAAAGTGAGGTCAAGGTCAAAGGAAAGGTAAAAAAAAATGTTGATGTAGTTGAATAGCTCCTATCAGGATATATCAGCATAAGAAGTTTGAAAACACTGTCCTGAATGGTTTCGTTAAAACTACTTCAGACTAATTTAAGAAAAGTGAGGTCAAGGTCAAAGGAAAGGTCAAGGTCAAAAAATGTTGATGCAGTTTAACAGCTCTCATCAGTATGTATCAGCATATAAAGTTTGATAAAATATCTTCAATGGTATCTTTAAAAATAAGCTAAACACTACTTTAGGAAAAGTGAGGTCAAGGTCAAAGGAAAGGTCAAGGTCAAAAAATGTTGATGCAGTTCCATAGCATTCATCAATATCCATCAGCATATGAAGTTTGATTAAAATATCTTAGATAATTTCTTTGAAAATTAGCTTTGAACTGACCTAAACGCAAAGCACGATGGAAGGACAAACAGAAGGACAGGAGGATGGAAGGACAGAAGATGAACATGACAAACACTATTTTCCCAGGTCATATTCATGGCGGGGCATTAAAAATGTCTTATCCTGAACACTATAAGAGGAGAGAATTGGTCAAATGATGAGCACTGTAATCGATATTTTGCATAAAATTGACCCAGTTCATCTGCTAATATCCCTCTCCTAGATGATCAAAAATCAAAATTTAGGAACCATGTTTTCATTTCTCAGGGATAGAAAATTGAACAACAATTGTAGGAGTACTCTGGAAGATAGAACATGTTCAACCTCTGCTATTTTCCCCCATCAAACATCAAAATTCAAAATCAAAGTACTCAGTAGATCCTTAATACAAGTATATATATATAATTTACCTGCAAAATATTAATTTCTTATTTTCAACAATTTACATGTAGCAAGATGTATCCAAACAAATGTTGTACTCTCTTATATTCTGCAGCACAAAAATGACTGAAGTTCAATAACTGCTATTTGAACCATAATTGATCAGAAGTCTAAATCCAAGTACCAAGTATCAAACTACATGCTTCCATGTCAATATAACAAATGGCTTTGTTGTACTTGAGATTTTTTTTTAAATTTTCCCATATATTCCTTTGTAAAAATTTGATCTCCCATTGTGGCTCCTCCCTATCCCATGGGTCATCATTTGAACAAACTTAAATCTACACTACCTGAGGATGCTTCCATATCAATATGACTAAACATAGCTTTTCAGTACTTGAGAAGCATTTCTTTTTTCTATATGTTTTTATGTAACTTTCAATCCCCCACTGTGGCTCCACCCTCCCCCCGGGGGTCATCATTTGAACAAAATTGAATCTACACTACCTGAGGATGCTTCCATATCAAAATGCTAAACATGATTTTCTGTTCTTGAGAAGAAGATATTCTCCTATATGTTCTATGTAAAATTTTCGATCCCCCATTGTGGCCCAACCCTATCCCCGGGGGGTTATCATTTTAACAAACTTGAATCTACACTACCTGAGGATGATTCCATATCACAATGAATAATCATAGCTTTGCAGTTCTTCTTCAGAAGATATTTTCCTATATATTTCTATGTAAGACTTTGACCCTCCATTGTGGCCCCATCCTTCTCCCGGGGTTCATTTTTTGAACAAAATAGAATCTACACCCTAAGGATGCTTCCACATAAATATGACCAATCAGGGCTTTGTTGTTCCTGAGAAGATTTTTACTATTTTTCCTGTATATTTCTATGTAAAACTTTAATCCTCCATTGTGGACCCACCCCACTCCGATGGGTCATGATGTGAACAATCTTTAATCTTCACTGCCTAAGGATGCTTCCATATAAATATGACCAATAAGGGCTTTGCTGTTCTTGAGAAGATTTTTAAAGATTTTTCCTATATATTTCTATGTAACTTTGATCCTCCATTGTGGCCCCATCCTACCTCCGGGGGTCATGATTTGAACAAATTTGAATCTACACTACCTGAGGATGCTTCCATATAAATATGACTCATTATGGCTTTGCTGTTCTAGAGAAGAAGATTTTTTAAGATTTTTCCTATATATATATATATATATGTGAAACTTGGATCCTTCATTGTTGTGGTCCCGCCCTACCCTGGGGGTCATGATTTGAACAAACTTGAATCTTCACTACCTGAGGATGTTTCCACATGAGTTTCATCTTTCCTGGCCCTGTGGTTCTTGAGAAGAAGATTTTTAAAAGGTGCTATTTATTTTTCACTAATTCTTAATTATCTCCCCTTGAAAGAGGGCATGGCCTTTCATTTGGACAAACTTTAACCCCCTTCATCCAAGGATGCTTTGTAGCAAGTTTGGTTGAAATTGGCCCCGTGGTTCTAGAGAAGAAGTCGAAAATGTGAAAGTTTACAGACAGAGGGACGGATGGACAGACGGGCTACATACAAAATGTGATCAGAAAAGCTCACCTGAATTTTGAGCTCAGGTGAGCTAAAAACGATGTAAAAGCTACATTATACATACAAATGACTAAGTTCAACAACTGCTATTTTCCCTATAAATGATCTGAAATCAAAACTCAACTATCTTGAATATCATTGTATGTACAATTAACCTGCAAAAAAAGTCTTTATCCTGAATACTACAAGAGAGGAGAACTGGATAGATGATGAGCACTGTAATCAATACTTTGCATAAAATTCACCCAGTTCATCTGCTAATATACCTCTCCTAGATGATCAAAAATCAAAATTTAGGTACCAAGTTCATTTTTCAGGGATAGATAATTGATCCCCAATTGTAGGAGTACTCTGGAAGATAGAACATGTTCAACCTCTGCTATTTTCCCCCATCAAACATCAGAATTCAAAATTATTCAGTAGACCCTTAATATATGTTATATACAATTTAACTGCAAAATGTTAATTTCTTATTTTCAACAATTTAGCAAGACGTATCCAAACAAATGTTGTACTCTCTCATATTTTGCATAAAAATGACCGAAGTTTAATAACTGCTATTTGAACCATAAATGACCAGAAATCTAAAGCCAAGTACTACACAAATACTTAATGTATGTTCTATTGAACTGCAAACCAAAAACTTCTCATTGTAAAAACTGTTGGAGAAGTTATCCAAATAAATGAAGAACCCAGTATGCAATATTTTGCATAATAATGATGTGATAATTTTAACAACTGGTACCTTTATAGATGATCAAAAATCAAAGTCGAAGCATCATATTCATCTCTGATGAACATTTCTTTGATCTGCAAAATAAACAAGAGGCCCAAGGGCCTTAACGTCACCTGAGTACAACAATTTAGAGGATCCATAAACTGATAAACGAAGCTTTGTTGCCCAATAGCAAGGAAAATAGTACAATTAAGATCATAATAGATGTCTCTGTTATTACCTCTTACATTGGCTTCACTTGGCCTTTGAAGAACATTTAAAAAGATAAGTTATTTTTGTTTCATTTTTATTCATCTATTATTTCCAAGTCTACCTGATTATTAAAACTATGAAAGTACTTTTTGCATTATACAATAAATGTTCTTGCATAATTTTCTTATTCTATTAATCTTTCAAATACATTATCTACAGTGATTAATTATCAAAGGTGAATGGCAAAGGTGAATAACTTCACTCAGTAGAATACAAATTAATAGAGCCCTGGCAAGGACCAGAACACTTGACTAAATGGTCCAGATGTTCAAAATTCTGGTAAAAATACCTTGCTTATTAAAACTTTTACTCTGTTTGCTTCTAATATGCCCAGGAGGAGAGGAGATTTTCAAAGAAATAATGCATTTTCACTATTTAACACAGCCCTACCCTAACACCAGAACCTATGACCTAGGGTCATGAAAATTTACAAATTTGGAAGAGGTACCCTCATCATCATAACTATGCAATTAGTTGAAGATTTTAAAAGAACATTTTCACAATATAATCAAAAAGAGCCCCCCACCCCCCCCCACCCGAGAAACAACAGAACCCCTGGGACCACAAGTTTTAAAAATTTTGTAAAAGCATCCTTGCTCATCATAACTATACACTTGTTTCTTTGCTTTATAACCAGGAGTAGAAAAAAATATTTTGAAAGAAATTATGAATTTTCACTAAATAATCAATAGAGTCTCCCCCCACTCCCCCCCCCCCCCCAACACCAGAACCCCTGACCCAGGAGCCATGAAATTCACAATTTTGGAAGAGGCAGCCATGCTCATTATAACTACATACTTACTTAGTTTACTTCATACCCAGGAGCAGAGAAGAAGATTTTCAAAGAAATAATGCATTTTCACTATATAATCAATAGCCCCTCCCCCCTCCTAACACCAGAATCCCTGATCCAGGGGCCATGAATTTCAAAATTTAGGAAGAGGCTGCCATGCTCATCATAACTATGTACTTAGTTAGTTTATTTAATACCCAGGAGCAGAGAAGAAGATTTTCAAAGAAATAATGCATTTTCACTATATAATCAATAGAGCCCCCCACCCCCTAACACCAGAACCCCTGACCCAGGGACCATGAATTTCAAAATTTAGGAAGAGGCTGCCATGCTCATCATAACTATGTACTTAGTTAGTTTATTTAATACCCAGGAGCAGAGAAGAAGATTTTCAAAGAAATAATGCATTTTCACTATATAATCAATAGAGCCCCACCCTAACACCCAAACCCCTGACCCAGGGGCCATGAAATTCACAATTTTGGAAGAGGCAGACATGCTCATCATAACTATGTACTCAGTAAGAATATTTCATTCCCAGGAGCAGAGAAGAAGATTTTAAAAGATATAATGCATTTTCACTATATAATCAATAGAGCCCCCCCCCCCCCCAAACACCAGAACCCCTGACCCAGGGGCTATGAAATTCACAATTTTGGAAGAGGCAGTCTTGCTCAACATAACTATGTACTTAGTTAGTTTATTTAATACCAAGGAGCAGAGAAGAAGATTTTCAAAGAAATAATGCACTTTCACTATATGATGTATATAGCCCCACCCTAGCACCACAACCCCTGACCCTGGGGCCATGAATTACACAATTTTGGTAGAGGGCTCATTGCTTATTACAATCATGCCAACAGTTTTACTGCTTGATGTCCAGGAGTAAAGAAGAAGATTTTTAAAGATTGCATTAATTTTGGTGGTTTTAGCCCCACCCCTCAGGCTCCAGGGGGGCAGGGATCATGAAATTCACAATTTTTGTTCCCCTTCACCCATAGGTGCTATATGCCAAAATTGGTTGAAATTGGTTGAGTGGTTTCAGAGAAGAAGCTAAAAATGTTCAAATGTTAACGCACGATGCACGACGAACGCCGACGGACAAAAACGGATAGCAATAGGTCACCTGAGTGACTCAGGTGACCTAAAAAATGATATCTTTAAAACTGTTGAAGGAGTTATCTGGAAAAATCAACTTGAAGTACACTTGTTAGTAATATAAGACATTAAATGGCTAAATTAATCAACTGGTACTTTCTTATCAATGACCAAAAATCAAACTCCAAGTGCAATGTGCATCTCTATTGTATGTTTATTAGACTTGAACAATTCGAAACCTATATTCCCTTTCATGGGATTTCTTTTAGCAGAAAACTGAAGGAGGTATTATCTGCAGAAATGTTGTACCCTTAAAGTAATATTTTGCATCAAATTGACATGTTCAACAGTTTGTATCTTTTTCATAAATGACCAAATACCAAACCAAGGTGCCATGAATATCAATGATGTAAAAACATTCAGGAAAAATGTCCTTAGGTTTAGATATGTAGGAGCTATCTGGACAAATAAAATGAACCCTTTATGCAAGAGTTGACAAATCAAGAATACCAACAACTAGTATTTTTGTCATAAATGATCCAAAACAAAGTCCAAACACTTATCGACTCTCTTCCAAATGTACAACTAATTTGCATACCCCATAAGCAATAATTTGCATAAACATCTGGTATTTTCCCAGTCACTGACCAAAAATCAAAATCAATGTACTAAACATATCTCTTATATAAATATGTACAATTTCTCTGCACAACAAACTCCTTACTTTGAAAACTGTTGATGGGATTATCCAGACATTTGACCTACCAAAACCAGCAATATTTGGTATCAAAAAAGGTGAAGTTCAACAACCGCTCATTTTCCAAAAATGATCTAAATTCAAAATCAGAGCACCATGCACATCTTTAATGAAAGTTTATAACCTCATCTGCAAAACAAACAAGACCTTCTGATTTTGAAAACTGTTACAGTGGCTATCCTGAGAAACGATGTAAAGCTACATTATACATAAAAATGACTAAGTTGAACAACTGCTATTTTCCCTATAAATGACTATAAACCATGCAACAACTTTCCAACAATTGTATTTGGTTTGTGTTTTATACCAGAGGCCATGAAAATCACAATTTTGAAAGAGGCATCATTGCTAATCATAACTTTATAATACACTTAGCATGCTTACTTTGATTTCTTAATACCCAGAGGCAGATCAGAGGAACAAAGAAAATCAAAGGCCTGAAGGCCTGAGAGACGCATCACATTGAAGACAGAAAACTCAAAAAAAAATTCTCAGAAAAATTCAACAAACATGTTGAGGGAAAATCAGGAATAAAAATAAAAATTAAAATATCGTTTCTTTGAGGTTAAAAAATGTTGGGTTTTTTTATTCTTTCATTATTATCATAGTAGGAAGATGAAATAATGAATGAGAATTTAGAAAGGAATGATTATTGGATAATTCTATATAATTTAATATCTGAATTTTTTTTTAGTTTCTTTCATTTTGTGAACTTTTTTAAATATCAATACTTTGTCTTAGACTAGTTTTCTCAATCAAAAATGGCATAATACGTAAACCATAGTGCAATACATGAAATGTTCATATAAATAATACAGGACTAAAAAAAAACCAAAAAACAATCGGGTGTGGTATACCGTATACTATGAAACCCATCAATGGCGGCCAATTTCCTCCGATATGGACACAGACTACCAATTATTTTGCTATACATTCCTTTATAACATAAAAATTAATTTAAAAAATTTCACCGCCTAAACTCACCTGAGATTTGGCACAGAGCTAGAACAATTCAAGGCCAAAAATACTTCCAAATCTCAGAAAAATCCATAGTCTACAAACCTTGCTATGGCACCGCAAGTAACCCCTACCCTGCATATTTCCATTTCCCTTTGAGAAACAGGTAAACAAAGGCCTCTTTACACCCTTCCTACTACGCACTTAATAGCAAAATTCCCATTATTCTAAATTTTCTATTTTTTTTCAGACCCTCTCCTTTCCATCTATGCCCTAAAATAACCCCATTCCACCCCATATACATCCCCAAGAATTTTTAAGAAAAAACCTCTATTTTTAAACTGGCACTACTTGCGTGGTCAATGAAAATGGGGTAAAATTAGTAGCCTGTAACCATTTATTTTCGATAAAATTGGTTATAAAACCTTGGCGGTAAGGATTGAACTCAAAACGTCTATGTTTATAAGGTATTAGTAATCCTATAAATTGAAATCCACAGTTATTGCAGTTTTTATCAGTCATTTAATCATATTCAACCGACATTTCACCAAAAACCGATCATTTCACCATTTCATGTCACCTTCGTGGAATGTTTTTCCCGAAAGGTGGCGCTTGTTGCAAAATTTTTTTCAGTTGGACATCTTACTATTCGTTTCATCGAGTGAAAAATTAATAATATCCCTTCTATTTCTATAAAAACAACCATCTTGTTCCTATTGCTAGTGATGTTTTATAAAATAAAATTATTATATGTTTTTCTCAGATATTCGTACAAGCAATGTCGCCTTACAAGGCCTAATAATTTATAGTACGAGTTGTTGTGATGCAAAGAGATCTTAATTCGCGTAGCGCACATGATTGTTTGTTGTTGTTAAGGTCTTCCGTCACAACGGAAGACCTTCTACTGATTCTGATGGTTAAGATTATTATTCTTTTTTTTTTCTTCTCCTTTCTAGACGCCAACTCTGGGGCCTCATATCTCGCTCATTTCTCAACGGATTTTGCTCAAATTTGCAGGGTTTATAGACGTTACAAAACTCTATCAGAATGTTGTCAAACATGTCAAAAATCCACTTCCGCTTTTGAGTTATCTCCCTTTAAATGAAAATTTAGGACTCTTCATTTCCGGATAAAGGCTCCGAGACTACAAAAGCTGGAGTAGAAATTCTACCGAATTTAAATAAAAGAAGCATTGAAGTTGTGCACATCTATTTTTG